TTTGGCTAGAGTAGAAAGGCTATTGTCAAAAAGTTTTCTGTCTTTGCCAGGCCGCCCATTTCCTGGTCTTACTTACGGTTAGAGAAAGCAGGCTTTCTTTGTGGCTTTTGTGTGTTTGGCTTATGCCCATTAGAGGTTCTGGGTTGGCAGACTTTCGTGGTATCCAGTTTGGGACCTATGAGGTACAGAGAAAGCCCAGAGAATTCACCACAGTGTCGTCTTCCGGTCCTGAGCTCCCCAGCCACCTGCATACTTACCTCCACCTTGCAGGGGCTTCTTACGCTCATTTTGTGTACAATGCCCAGGGGGCTTAGTACGTTTATTCCATCTTCCTGGGAGCAGAAGTCCTAGTGATGATAATTTTTATCACCTGGTTGAGATGACATCTTCACATTTTTACACTGGAAAGTTAGTAAGTATTTTCTACTTTTTAATTAGCAAGTAAATATTTTGTGGAGAGAGACACTGAGGTAATGTAAATACCCTGTTTCTCATCAAAGTTTTACCCACTAGTTGTATCATCTATTGATAATTCTTGCCTGAAGTAATTATGATGGTTGCCAAACTGTTTATCTGATTCCATCACTCTTTCTACGTTTCTTGGCATTCTACTGTTAAATAGAGCCTTTCCTTCTTCCCCATTTCATATATTTACTTATATCCATATACATTCTATTTAATGGTTTATATTACATTCTCATCATTTATCTTGATGCTTACATTGTCCCAGATTCTGCCTCAAGTTGCTTTTGTGTTCATCTGCCTGTTTATTTAAAACCAGGAGTTCACACAAGAATATCTCCAATTATGATCCATCACCAGAGAATTCGTTCTAGCGTTCTCTGTGTCCGTATCTGCGACTCCTTTCTCCAACAGTGAGAAGCCTGGTCATCATTCTCAATATGTATTCTTCGTGCCCAGTCTCCTTGTTTGTGACCAGTTTCCCGACCTTTTTTGGCAAACCCTTCAGCTGTGGCACTGCTAGCTGAGTCCTGGCCCAGAAACAAAGGAAAAAAACAAAATGAAACAGGAATGATCTCTATGATGGAGGAAGGATTAATATCCTCGGTTGCTTGTGTATTTCATTGAAATTTCTTTTTTTAAAAAAGATTTATTTATTTAGGAGAGCGTGCACGCACAAGCAGGGGGAGCTGCAGAGGGAGAGGGAGAAGCATACTCCCCACTGAGCAGGGAGCCCGATTCGGGGCTCGATCCCAGGACCCTGAGATCGTGACCTGAGGGGAACGCCAGTGCTTTACCGACTGAGCCCCTCATTGAAATTTCTTAATAAGTATCTTCAGATTTGGAAACAAGATTCACTTTTAGGACCCGTTTTTAATTTTTTCATTTTTTGCTCATTTGGTAGGTGGGAAAATGTTTTGTTATAGGCTTAATTGGCATTTTAATTAATTAATGAGGTTAAATACACTTCCAAGTGTTTATCAACTATTTCTATTACATCTTCCGTGAATCACTTACGTGTTTTGCACATTTCTCCATCAGGATATTTATCCTGACGTGGAAGAATGGCTTCTTAAAGATACCAGCCCCGTCATGTGTCAAATGATTCTCATGGTTATTTTTCTCTTCAGTTTGCTTCCGGTGCTCTTTACTGTGCAGAATGCTCCAGTGTTTGTGTTGTTGAGTGCACTGTTCTGTTCTTCTATGGTCTCTGCCTGTATGCTTTGCTTAGAAAAATCATTTCCCATCTGAGATGATGCAGTTATCCCCTCCAATTTTGTCCTGCTAATTTTGTGGCTTCCGTTTTGCCTTTAACTCTTTAATTCATCTTGTATATATTTTGGCGTAAAGCACATGAGGGGCTCTAGGAGCCTCTTGTTGGTCAATGTTAATTTCCAGTCCACGTCATGAAGGCCACGCTGGATCCCCTGCAAGAATGGAACCCTCACTGCCCCGGGCCAACGCCACCGGTTGATTACTTCACCCTTCATTCATCCCCATTGTATGTTGTGTATACTTGAGTCTGTGTCTTGCTCTTTATTCTGTTTCATTGATCTCTCTTGATTCCAGTATCCTGCTCTTTTTATTTCCATAGCTTAAAAATACATTTTTATATCTGAAGTTTGCATCCTCTGCCTGTACTTATTCCCCCACCAGCAGCTTCCTCTTTTGCTGACACATCTACTTTTCAAAGTTTACTTCAGAATTTTTTAATGTTAAATAACAGCATCTCCCTCACCTAGAGATGCAGATTCAACAAGTCTTACTCATATAAAGTGACCAAGACCATGGCTAACAAGGTAAATATTCAATAAAGTTATATTATTTTTAAGTGACAAAAGTCCAACTGGCAAGCTATCTTTAGAGAAAAAGGAGATGTCATTGGCTCACATAACTGATAGTGCTTGGAGCAGAGCTGCATGCCGACGTCTAGGTGGTGGTCTCTCTCCATGTGGAGGACCATGCAGAACTCAGCCTTCAGGCTGAAAATCCCCAAGGGACAACAAGAGGTTGTCTTCCACATAGCTCTCCATGAGGAGTCTCAGGGAAGGTTCTAACTGAGCTAGCTTTGATCAAACGTGCATCTTTGAGCCAAATACCCTGGTAGCAGTGGGGATTAGTAAGTCCTTATGGATAAATTAAAAAGTTTAAGGGTGGGGCGCCTGGGTGGCTCAGTTGGTTGGGCGTCTGCCTTTGGCTCAGGTCACGATCTCAGGATCCTGGGAATCGAGCCCCACATGGGGCTCCCTGCTCAGCGGAGAGCCTGCTTCTCCCTCCCCTCCCTCTGCCTCTCCCACCTGCTCATGCACGCTCTCCCTCTCTAATACACACACACACACACACACACACAAACACACATGCGCTCTCTCAAATAAAAACTTAAAGCTTAGGGGGTGCGTGGCTGGCTCAGTTGGAAGAACATGTAACTCTTAATCTCAGGGTTGTGAGTTTGAGCCCCAGGTTGGGGGGTGGGTAGAGATTACTTAAATACTTAAAAAAAAAAGTTTAGCCCACCAAACTTTCACTTTGGCAATCAGAGTTCATCTGCAGATCCTGGAAACCCCTCTGGCTAGCTTATGCTGAGCTCCCCCCAGAACTGGGGAACTGGGTGCTGACGAACTCTGAGCTCTGGAAGAGCAGGCTCTGGGCTGAGCATCCATGAAGGGCGCCGAGGACCACACACAGAACTGGCCTGTGGGGCCTCCTGTGCTGAGTCAGACGGCCACAGCCCCGCGGCTGGCTCCGGATCCGACGGCCGCCTACACAGTCTGGGAAGTAAGCAGCCATCACCTTGGCTGTCGGCTCCGGGATGCTCTGTCCCTGCCGTGCTCCTTACTAGCAAAATGGGTGCTCTGTCCTGTGGCCACCTGGGTCCCTGGCTACCTCTGTGGCAAAGCCAGCATGTGCCTGCTAGCTGAAGGAGCAGAGGGTGAGAGGGGCTCTGCGTGGAGTCTGGGAAATGGTACTGCCAACAGCGAGCCCACCTCAAGGGGGTGAGAATGGAATGGAGTGAGCCAGTCAATGGAGCAGAACATTGAAGTATAATTTTTTTTTTTTGGCAGAAAGATTTTATTTGAGAGACAGATGGGGGTGGGCGTGAGAGGGGACAAGTAGGGGGAGGGGAAAAGGGAGAGAGAGAATCAGGCTCCCTGCTCAGCAAGGGAGGGCTCCATCCCAGGACCCTGGGATCATGACCTGAGCCAAAGGCAGATGCTTAACCGACTGAGCCACCCAGGCACGCTGAAATATGTTCTTCTACCATAATTTTAAAAGGGAAAGGATTTTTTAACCTCCCCCAAAAGCCCAAAAGGCATCATCTGAATCTAAAGTACACGTAGCAACTATAAACTTGTATATAAATAGATCTCTCTCTCTCTCTTTCTCTCTCTCTCTCTCTCTCTCTAGTTGATCCTTGAACCAACACTGGGATAGGGGGCACTGATCCCCAGGCAGTCAAAACTCCGTATCTAACTTTCGACTCCCCCCAAACTTAACTACCAGCCTACTGTTGACCACAAGCATTACTGATGAGTCAATTTACACTTATTTTGTAGGTTATATGTATTATATCCTGTATTCTTCTAATAAAGCAGCTAAAGAAAATGTTAATGAGAAAATGCAATAAGGAAAATACACTTCTAGTACTCTACTATATCTAGTGAGGAGTCTGCATCTGAGTGGATCCGGGTGGTTCAAATCTGCGTTCAAGGGTCAGTGGTGTAACTGTTTTTTTGTTTTTTTTTTAAAGATTTTATTTGACAGAGAGAGACAGCGAGAGAGGGAACACAAGCAGGGGGAGTGGGAGAGGGAGAAGCAGGTTTCCCGCGGAGCAGGGAGCCTGATGCGGGACTCGATCCCAGGACCCCGGGATCATGACCCGAGCCGAAGGCAGACGCTTAACGACTGAGCCACCCAGGCGCCCCAGTGGTGTAACTGTTTATGGGCATACATCGTGTGTATGTGTGTATGTTATATGTATATATGTTTGTATTTCTCTCATTGCACTGATTTTTCACCGGATCATTGAAAATCTTACCACGGACCCTTCGGTGAACTAGCCTTGGGGGGACATCCTGCTCTTTTGGTGGACAGAGAAACCAAAGGAGGTGAAATGAAATGAGTGGTTTGCTACTTGATCAGCCTGTGTTTGCTAGGAGAACCTGAGGTTCTCTGTTGTAGGGCGTCATCTTGGATTATGCCCGAGATTTTAGTATGTACTTTTTTTTTTTTTAAAGATTTATTTATTTATTTGACAGAGAGAGACACAGCGAGAGAGGGAACACAAGCAGGGGGAGTGGGAGAGGGAGAAGCAGGCTTCCCGCGGAGCAGGGAGCCCAATGCGGGGCTCGATCCCAGGACCCTGGGACCATGACCTGAGCCGAAGGCAGACGCTTAACGACTGAGCCACCCAGGCGCCCCAGATTTTAGTATGTACTTAACGCCTTCCTTCCGCCTTCCTTCCATCCTGCCTCGTGCTGTAGGGCGGGCTTGTCCCAGGCTGCTGCCTCTGCCCCTAATCTCTCTTTCCTCTTCCCCAGCTGTTGCTTGAGCACCAGGATGCGTATCAGGCTGGAGCTGTGTTTCCTGATGCCTTCTACCCCAGCATCTGCGAGAGAGGTAAGATCAAGTCTTGCAGAGCCACATGTTGCCCTCACTTGGTTGACAGGAGCAGCTAGGACAGAAGAAATCTTAACGTGGAGTATTTTCCACTGTCGTTGGTCAGTGACTTCGTTCACATGACTGCATTTTTCATTTAACCAAACCTTACCTACTTAAGCGTAGAAATTCTGAAAGATTTCACGATCCTACACGTCCTTACTTGCTTTCCTGCTTTCTGGTGAAGAGAAAAGATTTTGAAAGAGACTGAAGGGTCTGGGTTCTTGTTCCAGCTGTGCTGTCTGTTAGCATGTGACCCTCAAAGTCTTGCCGTGCTAAGTCTTATTTCCACGCCTGTGACGTAATGATAATAAGCCTGCTTTGCCCCTTTACTGGATTTTTTTGGCGTTAATGCATATTCTTTTGTCAAGTGTTGTACAGATCCAAGGCAGTGTTATCAGTGACCTGGGCTTATGGGGTGTATTGGGGCCCCAGCAGGCATGGAAGTTGCACTCCAACAGAGTAGTCAGAGGGGTGTTTTATAATGGGACCATTTACAGAGCTACAGGCCAGATGTAAGTCTGCAGGAACAGTGCAGGGAGGGAGCAGCTGCTGGAACTGAATGGGGAGGCTCCCTGAAGGGGGCCAGACCTTCAGTCAGGGACACAGCCAGCCCCCGAGACCCCAAAGTCGGGGATCTGGGAGAATGAACATTTCTCCCCCACCTCTCTTCCTTTTTTCTGGTCTCCTCTCCATTGTCCCCACTGGCCAAACCCAACCCAACCAAAGCTGACGGGCAAAGAGCCCTTCAGGGGCACCGTGCAGGGCAGAGAAGGATGGACAGCAGGTCTGGAGGGACAGATGAAAGATACCCAGTACATTTACGTCACGTAAACCATATTTGGAGTCTCAGGCTCAAAATCCCAGTGTATTTTTAAGATTTTATTCATTTGAGAGAGAGAGAACACAAGGGGGATTGGGGAGGGGAGAAGAGCAGAGGGAGAAGCAGACCCCTCGCTGAGCAGGGAGCCCAATGTGGGGCTCGATCTCAGGACCCTGGAATCATGACCTGAGCTGAAGGCAGACGGTTAACCGACTGAGCCACCCAGGTGTCCCACCAATGTTTGTTTTAATATAGCAATGCCTTTAGGCTCAATGAAATGTTTAGGGTTACCCACTCCTGTAGTTATGATACCAAGTACGCTTTTGTATTTGTCATATTTGTAAGGTTGGGTGGGTTTTTTTTTTTTTTCTTCTGTTTCCTTCTTAGGCTGTTAACTATGTTTTCTTAATCCTTTTATTTTGCCTGCTTGTTAGTTTTTTTCTCTCTAGACCTATTTCTAATTTAGCGTTTCCCAAATTGTATTCAGGAGGCTGTGATGTCTCTTGATAATTGTTCCTTGATATCTTACATAAGAAGTTAAAAAAGGGGTGCCTGGGTGGCTCAGTTGGTTAAGCGACTGCCTTCGGCTCAGGTCATGATCCTGGAGTTCCGGGATCGAGTCCCACATCAGGCTCCCTGCTCAGCAGGGAGTCTGCTTCTCCCTCTGACCCTCCTCCCTCTCATTCTCTCTGTCTCAAATAAATAAATAAAATCTTTAAAAAAAAAAAGAAGTTAAAAAAGGACTTTTTTTATTTTATTTTATTTTATTTATTTATTTGAGAGAGAATGAGATAGAGAGAGAGCATGAGAAGGGGGAGGGTCAAGGGAGAAGCAGGCTCCCCGCCGAGCAGAGCCCGATGCGGGACTCGATCCTGGGACTCCGGGATCATGACCTGAGCCGAAGGCAGTCGCTTAACCAACTGAGCCACCCAGGCGCCCAAAAAAGGACTTTTTTTTGACAATTAAATTTGAGAAAACTTGCTTAATACATGCCATCTTAAGAGACCAACCAAACTCACAGTGCTGAAGGCTCTGTGTTCCACATTCTCTGTTTTTCCTCCACCAGTAGATGCCCTCCTCCCTGACCTAAAGCTCAGGACCAGTGCAGACTGATGTGCCAGTGAGCTCAATTAGCATTATGAAATCTACGCTGACTATGAGGAATTTGACACAGACTCCTCTTAGATTTTCATGGATTTTTCCAAATTTTCCCTTGATCCCACACATACCTACTTGCACAGCACCTGTCGTCTTTGATTTGAGGGCTCACTTTTATTGCATCTTGGAAGAGCAAATGTTCTCACTCCGTTGCCGAAGAGGCAGCTGTTTTTATATTCTGTTCATCAGTTTACCTAATACTGAATCAAATCTGTAACAACAACGATGACAGCTGGCCCACCCAGGATTAGAAGCAGCCCTGCTGACCCTCAGTAAGCGACAGCTCAGCTGTGGGGACAGGTGCGTGGGGACAGTGACCTGGCTGCCACCACCCCGCAGGCTCTGGGTGGGCTTTCTCTTCTGTTCAGTTGGATTAGAGAGGGGAACAAAAAGCTTTGCTTGATCTGGCAATTTGGTTAAGGCGAGTTTTTGTCCAAAGAGCTGCTGCTGTACTTAATTTTGGATTTTTATGGAATTCTGTAAAATAGAATTTTAAGTTCTATCTTTTAGGAAAACAGAGCAAATCAAATTTCATAGTTGTAATGTCTTTGAAAATCATTTCCAGAAAAGCCAATGATTTAAGACTGGTTAGAATGTTTTTACTTCAGCGACAGCAAAACCATTTGAACAGAGGGATCTAAACTCTGGAGTTTTGGTTTCAGTTGCCCCTCATGACGTGACGCCCCCCTCCCATCCCCCCTGCACCCCACCTGCACCGCCCTGCTGCTGACTCCGGCACCCCCCACACACCCCTTTTCTCCTTCCCTTTAGCACAGAAATGGAAAACACTTCAACCTTCATAGCAGCCCAGGTGATTGCAGATGCTATGAGCCGGTCTGGCTTTCTCTCTCTCCCAGCTGGCTCTTCTGTCCTAGAGGCTTCCTCTGAACATCAACAGAAGAACCCGAGAGGCTCGGAGGGAAGGAGGAGGAGGGTTGCGGGAGGTAGCGTGGTGGCAGATGTCACTGGGAATCTCCAGCTTTTTCAGAAAGACTCCTGAGACCTGCTCTTGTCTCACCAGGGCAATTCCATGACGTGTCTGAGAGCACGCACTGGACCCCCTTTCTGAATGCAAGCATCCACTATATCCGAGAGAACTACCCTCTTCCCTGGGAGAAGGTAGGCACGGCCCTCTAGCGCCAAGAGGAAATTCAGCTCCAGACACCCCCACCCTCCGTCTGCATTTGCACTGCACCCCATCCCCACCCCAGGCTCCGGGAGGGCTGCTCACCCTTATACCTTCAGTGCCAGACACAGGATGTGCTTAGTTAATACTTGAATAAACTACTTAGAAAAATGCAGTAGGTCACCATTTTGCCCCAAGAGTAAATCACCTGAAAGCCCTTCTAAGGCACTGCAAAACTTTCAAAAAGTCCTTTGTGGTTTTTGTCACTAGAAGCTACAATGTACCCGCCTCTGATTTTATTATTGTTAAGTCTTGGGGGTGGAAATCCTATTTATTAAACACTGTAACAGGATCTTTATAAAATAACGCAAGTGCCCATCCCTCTAATTTCTTATTTGGCAGGACACAGAGAAATTGGTAGCCTTCTTGTTCGGCATTACGTCTCACATGGTGGCCGACATTAGCTGGCACAGCTTGGGTATCGAGCAAGGATTCCTTAGGACCATGGGAGCCGTGAGTACATGTCTGCAGGTGGATGACTGTACGGGAGTGACACTGTCCTGCCCAAGATGAAAAACTGGCCCTTTCAGAGGAAAGGAAAACTTGAGGCTCTTTAGAGGTCATGTGGAGGCAAGACTTCTTGCCCAAAGCAGTCTTCATGTCCATCTCTTCCTCTTCCTCTTTCTGCTCTGTAAACTCCATCACACGGGCAGAACCACTAACGTGCACCGAAATCCGCGATAAATGGGATGTTCTGTGTCGTCGCAAACAATATTTGGGAAATCCCATGTTTTATTCAAGTTGTATTAGTAAGGATATGAAGAGCTGCCACTTAGTCCTATTTGGAAGGAATGATTCCACGTGTGTGTGTGCTTTTTAAATGTTCTTTTAACATCCAGAAAAACTTCCTTCTTGAGTGTAGTTGGCGCAGCGTTCCGTGAGCTTCAGGTGCACGACATGGCGAGCAGCGGCCATACCAGATGCTGCGCTTGCCCCCCCGTCCCCGCACGACCCCCCACGCTACCCTTCACTGTCTTCCTGGCCTTCATTCCTGTGACTCACCACTCCGTAACCTCCCACTCCCCTGCACCTGTTTTTCCGTTTTCTGTATGAAAATGCCATCGCCCCGAACTGAAAATGGCGCTCTTGTTTCTGCAAGTCCCCCCCGGTCACCAGTCGCTCTTAGTCCATTCTGCTTGGACTCAGTAGGGACTGTGTATTCATCCTCCGAGGTGCAGACGTTCGCAGTGGTTTTGTTACCAGCCGTTAATACACAGCTCGGCTGCCACTACAGTTTTTAACAATAAATTTTTGGAAAATCGAGTCCGTCTAGGACAGACCCTTAGCATTCACTGGGTTAGGCATTCATCTCCTCACTCCTGGTGGGGCTGTGGGGTAGGGGTTTGGGCTACAATTTGTGATTTATATAAAAAACACACATCAGATGATTCTTTTTCTTCCTCAGGTTGATTTTCATTACTCCTATTCTAAGGCGCATTCGGCGGGTGATTTCGGTACTGTTTATTTACATTTGCCAAAGTTTCTTTTGCGATAGTTCTATCCCATTTGTTACGGGGTCACTACTGCACCTTAAATCTGTATTTCCCCCCCCTATGTTGAATAACCTTCTTTCTCCGTAACAGATCATTTCATGATGAATTAGGACTGGCTGTGTGGTTCTCCTGAGTAAAAATGTCATTTTCATATTCTATGAAATAGGTGTTCAGTCACTTTGTGAAATGGCTGGTAACCAGGCAGTTATCTAGGTAACAGGAGTGCCGATGCACAGCAAAATGTGTAAAATATTTAAAGTAAAATACGTGTTTTTATCACGTCTTGCCAGTCCATATACTAACTAGCTTTCTATTTTAATACTTCATTTATAGTATGGGTATATCTCATTTGACAGAGAGATGTATTTCTGAAAAGTTGTATGTGTGTATTTCTTTATTTAAAAAATCACATTTCATCATTGACTTGTGTCATAATTTAGAAAAGCTTTACCTTTATATCAGCTTAAAATTCATTACCTAAGGTCACCTAATACTTTAGCTTTAAAATGGTACCCTCCATCTTTTTCCTATAGTAAATTACCTTGCAGTAGCCAAAGTAGATGGTGAATGGTGTTTTAAAAGAATCTTTATGGTTCATCCTTCCTTAAAGAGAAAAACTTTCAGTTATATGGTGTTTCTTTCTTAATTCATATGTTTTACTGGCTAAGATAGAAATGATCACGTTTTCTTAAAGATCTGCTTGTACCTAAAACAATGATCAGAAAAGTGTGGACAAGGTGATGAGCTAATGACCTGGATTGTGCAAATCTGTGTGGAAAGAAACATGCCATGTCTTGTCACTAACCGACCAAATGTAAATATTTTTCTCCTATCTTAGGAGGTGATGTGTTGAGCCAGTTTGAGTTCAATTTTAATTACCTCGCACGACGCTGGTAAGAACAATTACACTTAACATATGTGTTCTCTGAATGGCGTTTAGAAGCTTGACCCTTTTTATCCCCTTAGAAAATGTAGCCTACAATGTAATTAGGAGTCTTGCATTTGTAAATTTTGAAAAGTAAAACTGCAGATGAGAGTAGTTTAAGGAAATGCTTTGAACTTGACTGATGCCATCTAAAAATGCATACTTGTAAAAAATAAGATCATGTACAGCTGTGTAGCTACCACTTGGCTCAAAAGCAAGCCTTACTGGTGTCTTATAAGCTCCTTGCCTTCTCTCCCACGAGAGTAAGCCCTCCTGTGGGGTTCCTGTTAATCATTTTGTTGCTTTTCTTTATAGTTGAATAGTATGGATGGATGTGTCCATATACAAAATAGTACATGGTTTTAATCTTTTTTTTTTTTTTTTTTTTTTAAAGATTTTATTTATTTATTTGAGAGAGAGAGAATGAGAGACAGAGAGCAGGAGAGGGAGGAGGGTCAGAGGGAGAAGCAGACTCCCTGCCGAGCAGGGAGCCCAATGTGGGACTCGATCCCGGGACTCCAGGATCATGACCTGAGCCGAAGGCAGTCGCTTAACCAACTGAGCCACCCAGGCGCCCCTAATCTTTAGATACATAGAATTGAGTAGCGTGTATTCAAATTTTGCTTACATTTCTATCTGAGAGACAGTCACATTGATGTGTTTGGCTGTAGCTCATTTTCCTCACTACGTGGTCCTCCATTATATGGATAGACCAAATGAAGTACTCCATTCCAATGGGGAAGGGTATGTAAGTAGTGTGGAGTGGTTTTGCTTTACATGTAGTGTTGCTGTGAACATTTTTGTGCATACGTTTGTGCACCAGAGGGAAATCTCTCTTGTAATCACCACTAGACATGGAATTGCGGGGTGGGTCATAGGGTGTATGCATATTTAACATCAGCAAGCCTGGGCTTTGAGAATGGTCTTCCCAATTGATACTCTCCTCAGGTTTATATGGTAGTTTTACTTCTGCATTCTCCAAGACTTGGTATTGTCCAACTTAAAAATAGCCTGTTTGGTGGGTAATGGTATCTCATTAAGTTTTAATTTGCATTCCCCATTGATTAATGAGGTTGAATATTCTTTCATATTTTATTGATCATCTGTGTTTGATATTAAGTGAAAATCTTGTTTAGTTTTTAGCCTTTTCTGTTGGTTTGTTTGGCCTTTTTACTTAGTTGTGAGTGTTCTTGTATATTAGGGCTTCTAATCTTTGCTTAGTTTATTATATTTTTTTGCAGTCTGTGGCATGTCTTTTTCCTTATGATGTATCTTAATAAACAGAACTTAATTTTAATGTAGTTGAATATATCTATCTTGTCCATTGTAATTTGTACTTTTGATGTCTTATTTAAGAAATCCTTCCCTACCTTGAAGGCATGAGGTCATTCTCCTACTTAGCCTTATTTTTTTAAACTTTGTCTTTCATTTCCCTGGAGTTAATTTCTTGTATATTCTGAGAGAGAATCTGATTTTATTTCTTTCTGTAGATCTAGATAGTCCCCAAATCAGGACACTTATCGATAGTCTCCCCTTTTTTCACTGGCCTGTAATGCCCTCTCTGTCATAAAATTTCATATGTATTTGGATCCATTTGTGGGCTTTCTGTTCTGTTCTACTGACCTGTCCATGAGCAATACTGATTTTTTAAAATTACAGTGACTTTATAATACATCTTGACAGCTAGTAGGGCTAGTCTCTCAGCCTGTCCTTTTTCTTTAGACATACCTTGCCAATTCTTTTGCCTTGGCTCTTTCAAATAAAGTGAGAGGAGCAAGTTGCCATGTTCCAAGAAAAATCTTGTTGGAATTTTTAGAAGTTTATTATTCGAAATATTGAGTCTTCTCATCCATAAATATGCTGTGTATTTTATTTAAGCCTACTTTAATGACTTCAAAGTTGTATAAGTTTTTCCCATCAAGGTCTTAGAGGTTTTATTCAATTTTGTTGCAGAGACTTTTTATTTGCTACCATGAATGGTAACTTTTGGTACCAGTTTTATTTTCTTTCTTTTTTTTTTTAAATATTTTATTTATTTATTTGAGACAGAGAGAACGAGAGAGAGAGAGCACATGAGAGGGGGGAGGGTCAGAGGGAGAAGCAGGCTCCCTGCCAAGCAGGGAGCCCGATGCGGGACTCGATCCCGGGACTCCAGGATCATGACCTGAGCTGAAAGCAGTCGCTTAACCAACTGAGCCACCCAGGCGCCCCCAGTTTTATTTTCTAATTGATTGTTGCTGTATAGAATGCAAGTCACTTTCTAATTTTGATTTTTGTACCTAGCAACATTTCTTTTTTTTTTTTTAAAGATTTTATTTATTTATTTGACACAGAGAGAGAGAGCACAGGTAGGCAGAACGGCAGGCAGAGGGAGAGGGAGAAGCAGACTCCCTGCTGAGCAAGGAGCCCAATGTGGGGCTCGATCCCAGGACCCTGGGATCATGACCTGAGCCGAAGGCAGTCGCTTAACCGACTGAGCCACCCAGGCGCCCTATTTGCTAATATTTAAGCAAGTTGAATTCCTGGGACAAAACCAACTTTGCAATAGTATATTTTCTTTTTAATATTTGTTGCATTTATTGCAGCCTGGGATTTTTGTATTTTTATTTATGGGTGAGCTTGTACTGTAATTTTCCTTTCTTCTCTCCTTGTTTGGTTTACTGGTATCAAGGTTATGCCAGCTTCATGGCATCAGGTAGAAAGTGTTCCTTCCTTTTCTATTCTCTGGAAGTCTATGTAAGATCAAAACTTTGATTGCTTGAATGTTTGGTAGAATCTGTAAAGCTTCCTAGGCCTGGTGTTCTCCCTATAGGGACTTCTTAAAAACTTCAGTCATGGTTATAGGACTACAGTTTTTCAATTTCTTCTTAAGGTGTTTTATTTTTCTAGGGTTTTTCCATTTCATCTAAATGTATAAACATTGTGGCATGAGGTTGTTCTTAATACTTTACTGTTTATTTCTTTTATTTGTACTTGTGTTCCCTTGTTATCTGTAATATTCTTTATCCTGACTTTCCTTAACATTTTTCAACAACTAATCTCATTTCAGTTTCATTATCTTAAAGAATGAACATTTGGGTTTATTGATCCTCTCTATTATATGTTCATTTTCTCTTCTATTACTTTTTACTCATATATTTATTTTCTTCAGGTTCCTGTGAAATTTACAGAGTCTTTTAAGTTTTTAAGTTTAATTCCAGTGTAGTTAACATGCAGTGTTAGATAATTTCAGGTGTACAATACAGTGATTCAACAATTCTATACATTACTCAGTGCTCATCATAAGTGTGTTCTTAATCCTCTCCACCTATTTCACCCATTCACCCACCCATCTCCCTTCTGGGAACCATCAGTTTGTCCTCTATAGTGATGAATCTATTTCTTGGTTTGCCTCTCTCTCTTTTTTCCCCCCTTTGCTCATTTGTTTTGTTTCTTAAATTCCACATATGAGTGAGATCATATGGTTTTTGTCTTTCTCTATTTCACTTACCATTATACTAACTCCATCCATGTTGTTACAAATGGCAAGATTTCATTTTTTATGGCTAAGTAATACTCCATTGTAGGTATACACCACTTCTTCTTTATCCATTCATCAGTCGCTGGGCTGCTTCCATAACTTGGCTCTTGTAAATAATGCTGCTATAAACATGGTGTGCATGTATCCCTTTGAATTAGTGTTTTTGTATTTTGGGGGTAAATACCCAGTAGTGCAATTGCTGGGTCATAAGGCAGTTCTATACACCTCCATCCTGTTTTCCACAGTGGCTGCACCAGTTTGCATTCCCACCAACAGTACACGAGGGTTCCTTTTTCTCCACATCTTCTCCAGTACTTGCTGCTTGTTTTGTTGTTGTTGTTGTTGTTTTTTAATTCATTCTAAGAGATGTGAGGTGATAGCTCATTGTAGTTTTGATTTGCATTTCCCTGATGAATGATGTTGAACATCTTTTCATGTGTCTGTTGGCCATCTGCATGTCTTCTCTGGAGAAATGTCCATGTTCTCTGCCCGTTTTTAATTGGATTATTTGGGGGTTTTTTTTTGGTATTGACTTAATATTAATTCTTTATATATTTTGGATACTAACCCTTTTTATCATATATGTCATTTGAAAATATCTTCTCCCATTCCATAGGATACTTTTTAGCTTTTCTGATTGTTTCCTTCATTGTGCAGAGCTTTTTATTTTGATGAAGTCCCAATAGTTTATCTTTGCTTTCATGTCCCTTGCCTCAGGAAGCATACCTAGAGAAATGTTGCTATGGCTAATGTCAGAGAAATTACTGCCTGTGCTCCCTTCTAGGATTTTTATAGTTTCAGGTTTCACATTTAGGTCTTTAACCCATTTTGAGTTTATTTTTGTGTATGATGTAAGAAAGTGGTCCACTTTCATTCTTTTGCCTGTAGCTGTCCAGTTTTCCCAGCACCATTTATTGAAGAGATTGTCTTTTTTCCCATTGGCTATCCTTTCCTGCTTTGTCAGAGATTAATTGAACTATAATTATGGGTTCATTTCTGGGTTTTCTATTCTGTTCCATTGATTAACATGTCTATTTTTGCACCATTATCATACTATTTTGATTACTGCAGCTTTGAAATACAACTTGAAGTCTGGAATTGTGATACCTCCAGGTTTGCTTTTCTTTTTCAAGATTGTTTTGGCTATGTGGGGTCTTTAGTGGTTCCATACAAATTCTAGGATTGTTTGTTCTAGCTCTGTGAAAGATGCTGTTGGTATTTTGATAGGGATTGCATTTTTTTAAAAGTAGGCTCCCTGCCCAGCATGGAGCCCAACAAGGGGTTTGAACTCATTACCCTCAGATCAAGACCTGAGCTGAGATCAAGAGTTGGTCACTTAACCAACTGAACCACCCAAGCATCGTGATTAGGATTGCATTAAGTGTGTAGATTGCCTTGAGTCGTATCCACATGTCAACAATAGTCTTCCAATCCATGAGCCTGGAATG